GGATTGGTTCCTCCTTGTCCGGTTCTGCTGTACTCAATTCTGTCGGGCTGTCACTCGAGTTTCCAGCCTTACTGCTTACCGTTACTGAACTTATATTTGGCACAGGTGCAGGCGGACAGTGCCACAAAGTGAATTCATCGTCTTCTATCTGCGTTACCGCATTAATAGGGCAAAGGGCTGAACCTTCAGGTGGAGATAACGACTCAACTTTTATTTTTTCCTCAAGAGTGGATCCATGATCTACGATCGGGCTACTCGGTGCATTGGGACAAGCGATAGGATAGGATGGAGGACAAATTACGGATGACTCTGACTGGACACAATGATAGGGCAACACAGGATCTGTGATGAATGTTTCGATGGAACAGGACTCTACATGTGACACCTCCGAAGATTCCTCCACGAGATGGTCACGCGAAAACAACACAGGTGGAGCGAACTCAGCCGCACGTGTTACATGTGTGGGAACAACCGATGTGATTTGTACACTATATACATCTACGGTTGAAATCGAAGTAACTGACTCCACGGCCGCCTCTTCCGAGTACACCAAAGGTTCCGTGAACACTGATCGCTCTTCCACCTTTGTAGTGCATTCCTGAAATACTTCTGCAACCGACGAGCTATCTTCAGGCTCCATTTCTGAATCAACTAGATGAGTACTGGATGGTAGAACATTTGCATTTGTTAGAGAGTCAGAAGAAGCTGACATTTTTTGTGCAACGCCATCCGACACAGGTTGAGGGGTACCAGGATCCAAGTCTTCTGTGGTCTGTCGAAATGATGAGGGTACTTCCCTGCGATTATTTTGAATTTCCGTATAATTACAACTTTTGTGTTCTTCTGTTGTGGAGGTACCTACGATATGCGCTTTGCAATCCAATGATTGCTCGAAAAATTTCGTCTTGCTCGCAGATAAAGTGGTGGTGATCACAGTTTGATCACTGCGGATATCACTAACATTTTCAATGACCTCATCACTTGATTCCACATTCTCCTCGGCATCATTCTCCGATCTAAATGCTCCAATCGATTCACTGCTGATCTCTGGTCGATCTGATTCTGGTTTTATTCTGATCGGTTGAGGACTGCTAGGTTGAATTTCACCTGTCCAACCGGGCTTTGGTGATTCCAATTTTGGTTGAACTTTAGTCTCCTCGTCACTGTCTAGTTTGCTCGGAGATGCATGAGCACTGAGGCACTGGTCACTTGTAGTCTCAAGGATGCATGTACTTTCCGGAACATCTTTACATTCGTTCCCTTGTACACTGGACTTGGTTGTTTCAGGCCCGAAAGTGGAACAAGCAGTCTCTTGAATATTTTCATCCAAGACGAACAACGGTTCCATCTTGCCCGGAGTGGGCTTGGTTTCTTGTACGGGAGCTTCAACAAGCACTGATGTCAAATGATCGGTGGTGAGCTCAGAAGCTCTAGACGATCCTATGATTGCCGAAGTTTTCTGATCCGATTCAGAAACTCGAGGTTCCCCGATTGCGGTATCCAGCAAACGATCTGTATTCAGTACCGAAGCAATCAATAATTCCGGGGGAATAACAACTTGTGGTGAGTGTTGAACCAAGGAATCTCCTCGCCCCACTAATTTTGAGGTAGTATTATCGCCGGGTGAACAGGGGATAGAAACATGCAGATTGGTTGATCGATCTATCACGGGAAGGCAAGGGTCTGCGCCGTGTAAAACTGA